ATTTATTCCATTCCAAATGAGGTATCTCCAAAACATGATTTTTGAACGCTTCAATAGCTTTTTCGGGCAATGAAAATCGTTGACCACACAGTTTATTCTTCACAGATGGGAGCCAAAAGAAATCATTGGGTGCCAAATCAGGGCTGTACGGCGAATGACCCATCAATTCGATGTTTTGAGTGCTCAAATAGTCTCTTGTTTGAACCAATGTGTGAGAGCTCGTATTGTCATGATGAAGAACAATCCGACGTCTCTTGTTTGTTTTCCTTATTTCCCCGAAGATTTCTGGCAAACAGATAGTTGTGTACCACTCAGAATTTACTGTTCTACGATCCTCTAGAGGCACTGTTGCAATATGACCAGTTTTTCCGAAGAAACAGGCCACCATTTTTTTTGAAGTGCTTTGTGCGCGAACAACTTTTGTTGGATTTGGTTCATCTTGGAACACCCATATAGTCGACTGCTTCTTACTTTCGGGCTCATACGAATATATCCATGATTCGTCACCTGTCACGATTTTATAAACGTCTTTTGAAGCACCGCGATTGTATTTCTTAAGCATTTTTTTGCACCAATCGACACGAGCCTTTTTTGAGCGATTATCAAATTATGTGGGATCCAACGCGAACATAACTTTCGCACAGATAAGTGTTCATGTAAAATCGCATATATGCTGGTGGAACTAATGCTTAGGGATGCCTCAATCTCACAATAGGTTACATGACGATCTTGCTTAATCATTTCCTACACAGCATCGATGTTGGCACTACAGATAACCGATTTTGGACGACCTTCACAAAATTTGTCGGACAGCGAACTACGACCACGATTGAATTTACTATACCAACGATACACAGTGGTTTTTGATAGAGCTTCATCGCCAAAAGTCAAATTAAGTTGATTGATGCACTCTTGTTGTAATAATCCACGTCAAAAGTCGTAAAAAAATCATCGCACAAAAATGTTCACGATTCAGTTCCATCTTTTGCCGAAACAAAACTTTCAACTAAATATAAAATAAATAAATGTCAAGCTTCACGATGGAACCGTCAGATGGACTCACATGACATCAGTGTTGCCAGTTCCCGAAATATAAATAGTCACCCTCGTATTTTTATAGCACGACTTTCTTGCTACGACATTTGCCCTCTTTTTGTAATTTGATTTTATCGAATAGAGCTTTTATTTTATATTGTATAATTATAACATAACATTTTTTATTGTGTTCCCTAGGGATTTACAAGTCGCTTTTTTCTAATCGGAGCATTCCCGAACCTTTACAATCTCTTATCTAACTCATTACAATACAATACATTATGGTGCTCTTTTTTTATAGGAGCGTTCTCGAATCTTTACAACTTCTCTTATCCAACTCGTTACAATACAATACAATACGGCGCTTTTTTCTGATAAGGGCGTTCCCAAACCTCTACAATCTTAATCAACTTAATCAACTCACACATTACAATTTCCTCCTCCTTCTTCCTTTTCCATTTCCAAATCCTTGTCTTTTCCCCCTCTCTTCTTCCTTCCACCTCTCTATCATTTTCTCCTTCCGTTCCTTCTCTTTCCTCTCCTCCTTCTTCTTCTCCTTCCATCTGAACCTGCCTCCCTTCTTCCTCATCTCTCCATATCCTCCTTCTTTACCTTTTCCCGACAGACATGTGAAATGTTTGGTTCGAACTGGATTCGAACCTGGGACCTTAGGCTTATCGTCTTATGACTTTACTTACTGGACCACTTTTCACTCCAAATTTGTATAAATATATAAGCTTATACAATTACCATATATATATTGTGACGTGGCATTTTGCACTCGTCACAAAGGCGGATGCGCCCGGCCGAGAGGGTTCGGATAGCGCTCCGATTTTGGTTTTTGCGGGCGAGCGGCGACTCTGTCGTCGACTCGCCATTTTTGATTTGTTAACGGAAATCGAGTTGAGTCCCGAGAAGGAATGTTGTAGGAAAAAAAGGCACGGAGAGGAGCAAAAGAAGAGGATGGAGCGGCATGGCCGAGACGCGCGGGGCCATGTAAGTCATTGAATTAATAGAATTTATCGTACCAAGTCACATAAGGGCCGTTACTGCTCTGAAATTCCTTACAGCATCGGAGAGCCGACTGTCTGCGATATTGAAGGGAGAAAACAGGCGCCTGCATCTCAAGACAGAGATGACTATTCCCGAGGGGCCCGCGACAGCATCCCGAAAGGACAACGGGATTGCTCGGGCTTGATCATTCAGAGACGGTTCCCGCAACGTACTGGTCCACCGGAAAATACAACACGGATCATCCAGAATAGAAACGGGGCTGCCTAAAAGACTTTCTGCGGCAAACAAGTTCCCGAGGGCAAGTTCGGAATCCTGCAAAGTTCAGGAGCCCGCAAACCGCGATAAGGAAAATATCGATATCCAGATCGATGGTTGACCCGGAGTGGCGACCACGGCGCTACCGCGCGAAACTACCGACGTAACGCTGGCTCAACGCCGCCCACTGTTCAGCTAGACGGCGATCCCAGCACACGCGGAGCATCGAACGACGTCACGAGAATTGTAAGGCCACCACTTCGACGTTCCGGTAAGCGTGGACCCGACTGGGACCCGTGTATTCAAAGAGACATCGCGTACCGAGTCTGTGAGCTCGGATTGAGAAATAATAATACTGATATAATTGTACTTACGAAGCATGGGACCTGCGTTGAAAATCCGTGTATTTGCGGTTTTTTTCGCAATTTTTTTTGCCTTTTTGGCCTCTCCGAGGGGCGCCGTAACAAGCCAACAATTCGTTGTACGCGTGAAATTCATTGCATGTTGCGCCGATGATCTGTGGTGTGGCTTGTGATGTGGTATGCAGGTCGAGAGAACTACGTCTGTCTGGATACTATTGCACTGAATATAATTTATTGGGAGAAATTAATACAGAGAAAACGTATGGCTTCCTTGCTGTCGCCGCCATATATAATAATGAACCTCCTTCTACTATTACTACTACTCGATGCGCCCAGATGGCGCCGCTAAAGCGCCGGTGTATTCCAAAACGGCGCCAACATTTTGCCCCCCTTGAAAGGCATAGGCTTACAACATAAAAAAAAACTGATGTATCAACTACAAGCCACTATATGACTTGTGAAAATAAAATTTTAAGAAAAATAAAATAAAAAACACAACACAGCTGTGCCATACTGTTAATACTATAATAACGCAGTCTTACAAACTTAATATCTACTAGAACAGCCGCATTATGCATCACAAGAACTTAATATCTACGAAAATATTAATGTTTGTTTGAAAGTTAGGGTTATATTTGTACATTGTCTTCGATGGGCAACACGCACAGTTTAGTTATTGCACGCTTGCATAGCCCACGACTAGTTCAAACCGTGACTATTCTTGTAATTCCATCTGTTCCGGGATGTATTTCTACAATTCGTCCCAACGGCCATGTCATCGGACATGTGTTTTCATTTTTTAATAATACCATCATTCCTTTACTTAAATTTATGATACCTTCTTGTTTCCATTTAATTCGTTGTTGCAATTGCACAATGTACTCCTTTGACCATCTGGTCCAAAAATGTTGTCTCAACTGTATAATTAATTGATAACGCGTCAAGCGATTCGTCGAAACGTCACTAAGATCATGTTCCGGAATTGTGTTTATAGCTTCTCCTATCAAAAAATGACCAGGTGTCAAAGGCTGTAGATCTGTCGGATCATTTGATAATTGAGTGAGTGGTCTTGAATTTAAACAGGCCTCTATCAAAGTAAATACTGTATATAACTCTTCAAAAGTTAATGTTACGGTTCCAATAATTTTACGCATGTGAGTCTTGGCTGATTTCACAGCTGCTTCCCACAGCCCGCCTATATGAGGTGAATATGGAGGAATAAATTTCCAATCAATGAAATGTTCCGCTAAATACTCATGAATTTGATTTTGAGTCGTTTCTTTTATTAGATAATTTTTTAGTTCCGTAAGTTGATTATTAGCGCCTACAAAGGTGGTGCCATTATCCGAGTATAAAGCTATACATTTACCTCTACGAGCAATAAATCTTTTCAATGCGTTAAGAAATGCTGTTGTAGTTAAATCCGAAACTAGTTCAAAATGTACCGCCTTTGTAACAAGACAAATGAAAATGGCTAAATATGCTTTGCTCGTTTTATTGCGCGATATTTTAATTGTAAATGGGCCTGCATAATCTAATCCTGTGTGTAAAAATGCACGTATTTGTTGAGTCACTCTCACAGCGGGTAAATTGCCCATTAATTGATGTGCGACTGTTGGTTTTGCTCTAAAACATACTATGCAAGACCTTAACACGCGACGTACCGCTTCTCTACCTGAAATAGGCCAATAATTATTACGCACCATCATTAATATCGCTTGTGATCCAGCGTGTAAATTCTTATAATGTGCATCTCTAATTATTAATGTAGTGAGGTGATGTTTACTAGGCAAAATAATGGGATGTTTTTGAGAATATTCTATAGTCGCATTACACAACCTTCCCCCCACACGAATGATGCCCTCTTCGTCTAAAAACGGATTTAATGTTAACAATTTGCTCTTAGATTGCAGCCGCTTTTTATTACTTAAATTATGTAGTTCTTCTGCAAAACTATGAGCTTGACAGCCTTTGATGAGTGTTTTCATGGCATGTTCTAACTCCAATACGGTTAATAATTTTGATTGTTGAGATATTTTGAACACTCCTTTTCGCAAGACGTAGACAATACGCAGTAACTCTCTTCAGTCGTGATAATGACGAAAATCGTTCGATGATAGCCATATATTCATTCGCTTCTTTAAGAACAAGTAAGTTAGTTGTGCGTTTTTCTGTTATGTCTTCGTGAATGTTTTCTGCACTAAATGGCACAAGTACTGAATTATGCTGTAAGAATTGTGGGCCTTCCCACCATATTCTTTTCTCTTTTAATTTTGCTGGACTGACTTCTCTCGACAATAGATCCGCAGGATTATCTTCCGACCGAACATGATATCATTGTGCGTTCTTCGTTTCACGCTGTATCTCGGCCACTCTATTGGCTACAAATGTTTTCCAATGTGTAGGCTCTCGTGCTATCCATGCAAGGACTATAGTGGAATCAGTCCAATAATATACTTTATGTATTTGTATTGTCAAGGATTGTAATACATTTCTAACTAAATTGGCCAATAAAACTGCGCTGCATAATTCCAGTCTTGGCAATGACACTCTTTTAATAGGTGCTATACGTGACTTAGCACATACTAATCTAACAGTATAATTTTCTCTCGAATTAGTAGTACGAAAATATAAGCATGCTCCATATGCTTTTTCCGATGCATCACAAAACCCATGTACTTCTATTTCTTCAGGATTATCACAAAGCATTCTTCTCGGAATTGTAAGCTGTTCTACACTACCAATCTGTGACTTCCATTGAAGCCACATATCTTTAATTTCCGTAGTAACTCCTTCATCCCATTTACATTTTGATTGCCACAGGTATTGCATCAGTATTTTACCTTGTACTATTATGGGGCCTAATAATCCGAGCGGATCATATATCTGTGCAATATTAGCTAATATAATACGTTTAGTTGTTTTATTCTCACTAATATTTAATTTTATTCGATATTGAAAGGCATCAGTCTTAGTATTCCATAACAAGCCGAGAATTTTCGTCGATTCGTTCGATGTAATTTGTCTTTTTTCATTGTCAAATTGATCACAGATTTGTGCAAGATTGGAGATCCATTTTCTCAATTCAAATTTTCCAAAACTTAAAATATGTATAATCTCTTGTTTCAGTTGTATAAGTTCCCCTATTGTATCCGCTCCCGTTAATAGGTCGTCCACATAGAAATCTCTTATTATTGTTTCACCAGCATTTTGATATTCAGATATCATCTGTTGTGCGACTTCCTGTAAACATCGAATTGCCAAAAATGGTGAGCTCGTCATACCATAAGTAACTGTATTGAGTTCAAATGTTTGTACAGGATCTTTCTTGTCCCATCTCCATAAAATACGTTGGAATTTGCGATCTTTATGATCTACTGCAATCTGGCGATACATTTTGGCAATGTCGGCTGCCATGGCATATTTATGTTGTCTTAGACGAATTATAATATCAAATAAACTATTTTGAAGAATTGGCCCTAGCATGAGTATATCATTCAAGGATTTTCCAGATGATGTTTTACATGACGCGTCGAAGACGACTCTTAGTTTTGTCGTTGTACTATCCTCTTTTGTTACAGCATGATGCGGAATATAGTAAGCTGGCTTATTATGTTTTTCTTCGATCTGAACTTCACTTATGTGGTGCAGCTTTAAATATTCCGCCATGAATTCATGATACTGAGCCTTTAATTCAGATTGCCTTTCCAGCTTTCTCTCTAATGCTTTAAAACGTTTTTCCGCAATAATATATGATTCTCCTAAATTTTCTGCTGTATCCTTTAGCGGTAGTTGTACTATAAAACGACCATCTATATCTCTACGAGTAGAAATAAAATGCTCTTCGCACTGTTTTTCTTTAGACGAACAATGTGGCGGGACTTTAACTTCCTCGATCGTCCAAAATTTTTCTAATTGTTGCTGTAAAGCGCAAGTAGACAATCCACAATATACTTCATTATTGCGTTGTTTTTTGTCATCGATGGGAATCGCGCCAAATATTATCCATCCTAATAATGTTTCCTGAAAAATAGGAGTATTTTCTGCAGATCGTATTTGTCTCATGCACATTAATTCCCAAAAAATGGAAGCGCCTAATAATGCGTCTATTTTCCCAGGTGTACAAAAAGTTGGATCCGCTAGTTTTATTTCTGGCGGTATGTCGAATTTGATTTGACTTATTTTAATTGTTGGCAAATATTCCGTTATTTGATTAATTATTATAAATGGAATTGTAAATTTTGCTGAATTCACTCGTGATTCGATGGTCGCTTGAATCGTCTGAATAGCGCTAATCGGAGTGTTACTAATACCTTTAATTTTAAGATCAATAGTTTTGTGTGTTAAATGCAAGCGTTCACAAAAATTTTTTGTTATGAAATTAGATTGCGATCCGCTATCAAGAAGAGCGCGACATTCGTGTGGGTTGCCGTGAGAATCGCGTATGTAAATAATAGCAGTAGCAAGAAACACATGAGTAACATCTCTAACGCTACAATGATTGAGAACAGTATTTACTGTGTCTGTGTTATTCGATTCAACCCTTTCGGATGATCTTTCATCTGGTGAATCAGTTATGTGTAAAAGTGTATTATGATAACCTTTACATGTTTTACAATTAGATGCCTTGCAACTTCGACCATAAAATTCTCTAAGACACTTTATGCACAAACGTTTCTTTTTTGTTTCGGATATCCTATCCCTAACTGGCATTTTAAGAAATGCTTGACATTCACGTAACCGATGATTACCTGAACACAGTACGCACGATGAATCGCTTGACGTTACATATGCTTGAGTTACATTCTTAGTATGGCTTGGATGAGTTTTATTATCCCTCCGCACGTGATTACTTACGCCTTGCAAATTTTGATTCGCCCGATTCACCGCTTCTAAAAAACCACTGCGATAATCTATAAATTCAGTTAACGTAGGAAACGCTTCTATAACAGATCGCTTGGCTTCCCATTCACGTCGAGATCCTTTGTCAATTTTCGGTAAAATGATATGGATAATTATCGTGCTCCAACTCTCTACAGGTTGGCCGAGTTTTATTAACGACTGTGTATATTGTGAAATATTATCCACCAATTGTCTAAGATCTGCATGTGACTCTTTAATGATAGCTGGAATGTCAAGTAACTTTTGAATAAGATATTGTACTATTAATCTTTTATTTTCAAATCTTTGCTTTAATAAATTCCATGCTACCGCGTAATTATCATTACCAATTTCTAATGAGTCTATCACTTTGGCGGCTTCGCCTGTCAATGCAGATCTTAAATAATGTAATTTTTGCACATTGGGTAATACAACATTCGACGCGATAAGTGACTCGAACAAATCCCTGAAAGGTATCCACCTCTCATAATTTCCATCAAATTTTGGTAAATCAATATTAGGCAATTTTACCATTGGACGAACAATCAATGGATTGTTTTGCGCGATAGGCTGTATATTAAAATTAGTAGCCGAAGAAGTTGAGCCTTCAATCATCGATATTGTGCGAGCTTTAGACAATAATTCATGATATAAATCTTCAAACGTTATTTTTTCTGATTCTTGTATATCAGAATCATCAATATCTTCAATTTTATTTTGAATTGTATCAAATTCTATCCATAATTGTTCAGCCTTTTCTATTTGACTACGTATTTCGACTATCTTTTCCGGATTGTCGTTAAGCTTTGCCAAAAAAGTTTTAAAAGCCGTGAGTCTCGCTCGAACTCTACCGCGCTGTCTCACTAATAATGCTAGTTCTTCCATATTGACTCAATAATAATTAATATGCCTAAACTTATTAATAATTGATTTGAACGTTATTGTCAACTTACGTCGATAATTATCGATCACAATATGTTACTTATCTTATAAACAAACGCAGTCTTCGATTCTCGATGAGCATCCCCACGTTGTATTACTCCTATCGTCCTTGAATGGCTAATCCTTCATTCGTGTATGCATTGAAAATATTGTTCGTCTGGATGCTAAAGGAACTGCAGAATCCGTTGAAAAGATGCCCGTAGCGTTCCTGGGTGAACGAGAATCGTGCGTATTCCGTTGGCGAAGAACGGCTGTAGATCGCTTGAATGCGAAAGAGAGAGAACCGTGCGTAGTCCGTTGGAGAAGGACGGCAATAACTCGCTTGAGCGCGAGAGAGAGAACCGTGCGTAGTCCGTTGGAGAAGGCCGGCAATAGCTCGCTTGAGCGCGAGAGAGAGAACCGTGCGTAGTCCGTTGGAGAAGGACGGCAATAGCTCGCTTGAGCGCGAGAGAGAGAACCGTGCGTAGTCCGTTGGAGAAGGACGGCAATAACTCGCTTGAGCGCGAGAGAGAGAACCGTGCGTAGTCCGTTGGAGAAGGACGGCAATAGCTCGCTTGAGCGCGAGAAAGTAGAGAGCCGTGCGTTTCTCAATATAAATGAATTCGTTACCCGCACTCTCCTTAGCTGCGATGATCAAATGCTTGATCTCGATGTTTCCACAATGTCCACTCCTCTTGTAGTATTCCACACTCTTGGTGTGCCTCTACTATTATCCGGCTCGAAGGATCAATGTTGCGCCGATGATCTGTGGTGTGGCTTGTGATGTGGTATGCAGGTCGAGAGAACTACGTCTGTCTGGATACTATTGCACTGAATATAATTTATTGGGAGAAATTAATACAGAGAAAACGTATGGCTTCCTTGCTGTCGCCGCCATATATAATAATGAACCTCCTTCTACCATTACTACTACTCGATGCGCCCAGATGGCGCCGCTAAAGCGCCGGTGTATTCAAAACCACACCAACATTGCAATATACAGTTTATTACAAATTATTTTCAATGAGTCTTTTACACGTTTTAATCTTTATACTTTGTAATAACTTCAATTCATTAATATACATAATGTTTTTAAGAAAAATCAATATTTCCATAACAACACATTCATTCATTTATTTGTTACATATTAATTCTTTTTGTTCTTTCGCTTTATACTTTCAATAATAAACATTACTTTTTCAAAGATCTGGTGAATTTATTTATAAGTCGCTACATTTTTGGTGACTCCCGACGTGATATTAAAGCCGACGTGATATTAAAGCCGACGCATTTTAAAGGCTGATGCGGAATAAGTGCCAAGTGATCGTCGTATTTGAAGTCTGCGAAATATTATCATCGCTTGGAAGAATTGCTGGATATTCTGATTTTAAGAGATTCATTCTCCGGATCTTTGAAACATCAGAGGCGGATTAGTCCTTCACGGAAATTCTCAAATCATTTTATCGGATTCCTGGAACAAGAGGAAAATGCCAATCGATAGATCACCAGTTAGACCCTGTTCGGATACACAGATTGATATGGATTTGGCGAGCGGATCAAATCAGGTTGGATCAGAAAATATTAATATTTTACCTTCTCAAACTGGACATCAGGTGAGTGATCCTATGTTACAAATTCACTCAAATGAGTTTCGTTTATTAAAACTACCGACTTTCTGGCATAAACAACCTAAACTCTGGTTTGCTTCTATTGAAAGTGAGTTTACGGTTTATCGAATTCGATCAGATGATATTAAATATAGTTCTGTCATTCGTCATCTTGATGAACAAGCCTTAGTAAACATATCTGAAGTCATTGAAAATCCACCTGAAACAGATAAATATAATTATTTAAAGAAAATATTAATAAATCGCTTTACGGATTCAGAGGAAAAACGTTTGAGACAAATATTAGCTGGAATTGAACTTAATGATAAAAAGCCTTCGGAATTACTTCGAGAAATTCGTCATTTATCTGGAGGATCTTTAGCAGATAGTGTTTTGCAAATGATTTGGCTTCAACGCTTACCACATAGAATTCAAACGACTTTAGCCGTAGTAGAGGATGTTCCTCTTGTTAAACTTGCGGAATTAGCCGATAAAATTGCTGATCGGGACGGCGGTTTGCAAGTCGCGGAAGTTTCCAATAATACAAGTAATAAATCTTCGGATTTCGCGGATTTGCTACGAAGAATCGAAGCTCTTGAAGTTTCTCGTCGTCGAGATCGTTCCAAAAGCCGGTCTAGAGAGAATAGAAGATTTAGATCGTTATCGCGTAACAAAGACAAATCAAATAAAGATATTAAAGATACATCAATTTGTTTTTACCATAAGAAGTTTGGTGATAAGGCTAAACGATGTACTTTACCTTGTTCTATGTCCAAAACATTCTTGGCTTCACAGGAAAACTAAAAACGCCGCTTAAGACTGAGGCTGCTTACGACGGTGTTTCTAACAATCGCCTCATTATTTTCGACAGACATTCAAATTTGAATTTTCTTGTCGATACGGGCGCTGATATATCGTTGTTACCTAAAAAGGTTTTATTGAAGCCGTGGCATACTAATTTAAAACTTTTTGCCGCAAATGGTACTCAAATTAATACTTACGGTTCTAAAACTTTAATTTTGAACCTCGGTTTAAGGAGAGAATTCAAATGGAAATTTTGTGTCGCGGATATTCAACGTCCTATTTTAGGCGCCGATTTCCTTTGTCATTTTAATCTCCTAATTGACATTAAAAACAAGAAATTGATTGATAATGTTACCGGTCTTATGAATACTGGAAAAATTCAAGAAATTGCGCATTTGTCAATTTTTACCACATCTCCTGATTCTGTGTACCACAAATTTTTAACCGAATTTCCAGGACTCACCCGTTTTTCTCCAATTTCCTCGGTAAAAACACATGGTGTTGAACATCATATCGTTACGGAAGGTTCTCCTAAATTTTCGACTCCCAGAAGACTTACTCCTGAGAAACTTAAATGTGCCAAGGAAGAATTCAAGTCTATGATGGAGCAAGGAATTTGCAGACCTTCAAGCAGCTCCTGGGCAGCCCCTCTACATATGGTACCTAAAAAGGAACAAAATTCTTGGAGACTGTGTGGTGATTATCGTGCACTCAATTCAGTGACTATCCCGGATCGTTATCCCTTACCTCATATTCAAGATTTTTCTTCTTCACTTTTTGGTAAGAATATCTTTTCTAAAATCGACTTAGTTAAAGCGTACTATCAAGTACCCGTCGCTAAAGAAGATATTCACAAAACAGCTGTCACTACTCCATTTGGGCTTTTTGAATTTGTCGTAATGCCTTTCGGTTTACGAAACGCAGCCCAAACTTTTCAACGGCTCATGAACTCTTTACTTAATGATTTGAGTTTTGCCTTTTGTTATCTTGATGACATTCTTATTGCTTCTAAAGATGAGAAAGAACATATTGCTCACTTACGCATTATTTTTGATCGTCTTCAACAAGCTGGAATGACAATCAATGTCGCTAAATGTCTTTTCGGTCAAAGCGAGATTTCTTTTCTTGGTTACTTAGTTTCTAACCAAGGAGTTAAACCTACATCCGAAAAAGTGAAATCAATTATTGATTATCCTAAACCTAAGACACTTCATGAATTACGCAGATTCTTAGGAATTATCAATTATTATCGTCGCTGTCTCAAGGATGCTGCAAATCATCAAGCTCTGTTAACAGAATATTTAAAGGACAGTCGCAAGAGGGATAGAAGAATTATTTCTTGGACTAAAGAAGCGGAATTAGCTTTCGAGTCATGTAAAGAAGAACTTTTACAAGTTACTACCCTTTCTCATCCTGCTCCTCATGCTCCTCTTATTTTAACTTGTGATGCTTCTGACTTTGCTGTTGGTGCATCACTTGAACAGTCTATTGACGACGATATCAAACCAATAGCATTTTTCTCAAAGAAACTAGACAAAGCTCAAAGAAATTATAGCACTTATGATAGAGAACTTCTTAGCATTTATTTGGCTATTAAACATTTCAGGCATTTTGTTGAAGGAAGACAATTGATTATCAGAACTGATCATAAACCTTTGATTTTTGCTTTCCGTCAGAAATTGGATAAAGCGTCACCAAGACAGATCAGACAATTGGACTTTATTGCTCAATTCTCTACAAATATTACCTATATTTCTGGAAAAATGAATTCAGTTGCTGATGCTCTGTCAAGAATTGAATCTATTTCAATGCCTATTATAGTTTCTTTAGAAGAACTTGCTAATTATCAGAAAGAAGATGAAGAACTTCAAGTTTTACTTTCTTCAAATTCTTCACTTCTGTTGAAGAAACTTATTCTTTCAGGATCAACCATACCTATTTATTGTGATTGCTCTTCGGAATTAATTCGTCCATATGTTCCTAAACTCTTACGCAAGAGAATTTTTGATGTTGTTCATGGACTCGCTCACCCCAGCGGCAGATTGACATCTAAACAATTACTACTGAAATTCATTTGGCCTTCTTTGAAGAAAGATGTGAAGGAATGGACTCGAACTTGTCTTCCATGTCAACGTGCGAAGATTTCAAGACACACCAAGAATTCTCCAATTAAGATTGCAATTCCTGATCAACGCTTTCAGCATGTGCATTTAGACATTGTTGGACCACTTCCTATTTGTCAAAATTACCGTTATTGTCTTACTATGATTGATCGTTTTTCCAGATGGCCTGAAGCTGTTCCTATTTCTGAGATTTCTGCTGAAACTATTTCTACAACATTTTATTCACATTGGGTAGCACGTTTTGGTTCTCCTATCAGCATTACAACAGATCAAGGTCCTCAGTTTGAAGCAGCTTTATTCAAAGCTTTAACAAACCTAATTGGATGCCAAAGGATTAGAACTTCTGCTTATCATCCTGCTTCAAATGGAATTCTGGAAAGATGGCATAGGACTTTGAAAGCAGCGATTATGTGCCACGAAACAACCAACT